TGCAGTAGAATAAACATAACATTACAGCCTCAACTTTTTACTTTGCATACTCAATATATATTAGCCATTTCTATAACAAAAAAAAATATCCTTGCCTAATCAGTAAATCCCAAAGTCAATTTCATTATGTTTCTATCTCAAGCACAAAATCCACGAACCTGGATTTTCAGGTTAGGTTCAGGCTAGATAATCAAAATTTAATCAAAGTTCTTCTCTTCAATTTAAGCAGTTAATTTGGTCATCTCCGCTAGTTCCATTAGTTTCTTCAACCATTCTTCTATCTTTCCATTTTTGCACATAAAACATTCTTGCTACCTTACACGTATAACAAAAAAGTTCCAACTTTTTTTCCAAGTTCATTACAAAGCTCCCATTTTTTTCCAAGTTCTCTTCTGTCTTCTTCTTTTCCTTCCTTAAAATTGTAAACTGGTGACATAGGTGGGTAAATTTAGTATACTGACAGATGAAAAGTAGAATGACTTGTCTGGACATGTAGGCAAAAACTAATTACTTCTTTATTTATTTTATTTGTCATTTTTAAGAACCACCCATCACTCTCACAGAAAGACTCTGGGTGGTATACAATAAAATATTAAAAGCATAAAAAACAATATGTACAATTTTAAAGAAGTAAGGGATATTAAAAATGGATTAAAAGGCAGAGGGGAAACTTCTGAAGGCACCAACCAGTCCCACTCCATATGGGACTCCCCATATGAGGCCACAGAGTTATTTTGTAATTCCTTTCTGGAAGACCAGAAGAGTGGGGGGAGGAATACATTTTAAGCTGGCACTAAAGCTTCTAAGACTTAACACAATTTAGCACTGTAACTGAACAGGGAGTCAGAATACTTGAATCAAAAAGCTCTCCACTTCTCCAACGAGAGGGAAAAACGTCAGTCATACTGGGGATACGTCCCGTCCAGCCAATGACCGAGACCTTTGAAAGCCAAGGCACCGCCCCTTTGAGGCCGCCCCAGTTCTTCGTCTCGGTCTTCGCCTGACAGGACGTGATCCTCCTCTGAAGAACGTTTTTTCCCTCAATTTAGCGATTTCAGCGATCTCCTTCTACCGGCAAGTAAATTGAGCTGCAGGCTTAGCGCCTGTCAGCTGGACTCTCCTTTCGCTTCTGTTGCGGCTGCGTTTAAACGGCAATTGCCAAGCAGCCTTTTTTCCCGCCGTCGGAGGCTTCCCGCCTGTGCCTAAGTCGCGCTTGTAGCCGGAAGGTTAGCGACGGATTTCTGCCTCCCTTTCTCTCTCAGACGGCGCAGCGGGGGCGTTTTTTCGGCGTTTCGGCTGGAGCGGAGGCCAGCCGCTTCCCCATTGTCGCTTTTTAGCCAGAGGGCTTGCGACCTGGTAAATCGCCTGCAGAGCGAGTTCCTTGGCCGTTAAAGGAGTTCCTGGCCTCCATTTGTGTTGGCGCCAAATTCGCTCGCCCTAATTAATTCAAGATGGCGGCCGCAGTGCGAAGTTCGGAGGGACATTCATCATCAGCTCGCAGGCACCACCCCAGCGATCCCCTCGAGGGATCTTCTTCCTCAATGCCCCCCCCCAAGCAAGAAAGCATGATCTAAGAAAAATAACTCTCAAAAGGCAACATCCGGGGCTTCTCGTGAGGAACAGCGCAGACACAGAGCTATGGAGAAGGCATTTTTGAAGGCCCAATCTCAGGCCGGGCATTCTGAGCGACCCTCCTCCCTCCCTCCTGCTGGATCACACTCTCCTCGCTCTGTCAGAGATTTATCTCCAGATATTCTAGGAAATCCCCAAACTGTTTCTCCCTCTGAACCTCAGAGGCTTTTTCAGACTATACCTGATCCAGGTCTTCCAGCGGCCCCTCCTCCTCCTCCACCTCCTCCTCCGCCTCCCACTCCTATGGCGGATTCATTGGAGGCTATGATTTCTAGAGCCATCCGCAAGACTATATCTGAGTGCCTTAACCAGGCCCCAGTTGCTCCTACAGTTCCTACCCCTTCTCAACCTTTGTCAGAGGCTCAACAGAGTACCCTTCTAGATCAGGAGCGCTCTGACATACAGGTTTTTCCTGATCAGGCCTCGGTTTCCAAAGGGGAGGATTTTCAAGACCAAGCCTGGTCGGATGATGAAGGGTTGGGGCCTGACCAGCCTGCCTTTATTGGACTTTTCAAACCACATCTTTTTCGTTCTCTGCTGTTTAAAGCTATTGCGGTCACTCGTTTGGGATCTTCTTCTACAGCTGTTGCTCCTTCATCTTCTACGGATCCAGCCGCTGCCATGTTTGCCGAACCTATCAGTGAGCCCGAGACCATTCCGGCTCCTAAATTGTTTCTCGACGTGCTCCAGCATCAGTGGGCTTTGCCAGGGGCTGGTCCTAGCCCTAATGGTTTGGATAAACGCCTCTATAATTCGGCTCCTCCTCTGTCAGATATTCTGCAAGCTCCGGCGGTGGATCCCCCCATTGTGGCCTTAACAGATTCTTCTCATCCCGCAGGCCCTCCTGAGGATTCTCTTCGACCCGAAGACAAGAGAGCAGAAAAGACACTCCTGAAAGGACACCAAGCCACGGCTTGGTCCATTCGAGCTTCCACATCAGCATCTTTCTTTAACAGGGTGGCCTTGCTGTGGCTTAAACAATTACAGGCCAGACTTCCTCTTTCCGACGCAAGATCACACCAGGACCTAAATAAGATCGCAGCTGCACTTGAATATTCAGCTGATGCCACCCTGAACTCTACTCGTTTCTCGGCCAGGGCCTTAGGTTCCAATGTTACCTCCCGCCGTCTTTTGTGGCTCAGGAATTGGCAGGCCGATATGCGCAGTAAATGGCAACTCGCCTCTGCCCCATATTCTAGTGGTCCTCTCTTTGGTTCTGCCTTGGAGCCCTTGCTTGTTGAGACCAAAGATCGGCGCAAGATTCTCCCTCCTGCCTCTCGTCGAGCTGATTCTCGGTTTCTGTCCTCCAGATTTCAATCCTTTCGTGCCTTTGGTTCCTCTTCCTTCCAACCTCGGACCCAGCGATCCTTTCCTTCCAGATCCCCTCCGGATTTCCAGGTTAGACAGGGAGCTAGGCCCCCCTCTCGGAGGGCGTATCGGGGAGGTAGGGGAGGTCGTTGGGCTCGTAGAGCTTGATGAACAGGTTTTTCAATCACCAATTGGAGGCCATCTCTCCTTGTTTCGGGAGCGTTGGGTGGCCTCCATTTCTGACACTTGGGTTCTTGACACCATTTCCCTCGGTTTAGCCTTAGAGTTTTCTTCTTCCCCTCCCTCTCGTTTTCTTCCTTGTCCCGTGTCTCGGGACCCTGTGAAATCGGGTCTACTTTCAGAAGCTATTAACCATCTTTTACAGATTGCTGCCATCGAACGGGTTCCTCCTTCCCAACAAGGCCATGGTTTTTACTCCCGTCTCTTCCTGGTCCAGAAGGCCTCAGGTGGATGGCGGCCCATTTTGGATTTGAAGTCCCTGAACCGGCACATTAAATACCGCCGGTTCAAAATGCAATCCCTCACATCTATCCTTGAATCTATCTGTCCCTCCGATTTTCTTTCTTCTATTGATTTGCAGGAAGCTTATCTCCATGTCCCTATTTTGCCCTCTCATCGTCAATTCCTCCGGTTTGCCTTTAAAGGAACACACTACCAATATAGGGCCTTGCCCTTTGGGCTGTCTTCGGCCCCTAGGGTATTTACCAAGATTATGGCCTCCTTGATAGGACATATTCGTTCTCACCCGGTCCGACTCCAGTTTTATTTGGATGACATTTTAATTATGTCCTCTTCCCGTCAAGCAGCTTTAGCGGACTTGTCTCTGGTTCTCGCTTCTCTTCAAGACCATGGTTTTTCGATAAATTGGTCCAAGAGCCAGTTGTCCCCCTCTTCTAGAATCCTTCATTTAGGGGCTTTGATCAACACAGTTTCTTCCACAGTTTGTTTGTCTCCTGACCGTCAATCCAATCTGCGTGCTCTGGTTCTTAAATGTTTATCTACGGGCACAGCGACGGTTTTGGCTCTTTCCCGTCTGTTGGGCATGATGGTCTCCTCCTTCGGCATCACTCCCTGGTCTCGCCTGCATAGTAGAGAGCTTCAATGGCTCTTGCTACCTTATCAGCGGGCCAACCTGGAGGCGTCTTCCCGACTTATTCGGCTGCCAGATTCGGTGCTCCGTTCCCTTCGCTGGTGGATTTCTCCGTCCTTGTCCAAGGGTTCACTCTTCAGGGAGCCTCTGAGGCTCCGGCTTACTACTGATGCTAGCCTGTCTGGCTGGGGGGCTCATATTCTTCATCGTATGGCTCAAGGTCGGTGGACTCCTTCGGAGGCCCTACTCAATATCAATTTGTTGGAATTGCAGGCCATTCGTCTCGCCCTGTTGCATTTCCAGGATCTTGTGGAAGGTAACCATATCTTAGTTCTTACTGATAATACAACGGCCAAAGCCCACGTTAACAAACTGGGGGGTACTAGGTCTCGCTCCTTAATGGAGGAGGCTCGTAGGCTAGGCATATGGGCTGAGGAGCACCTGGCGTCCATCAGAGCTGATTTCATCTCTGGCTCTGCAAACACCCAGGCCGATTCTCTCAGCAGGTCGCAAGTGGATCAGGGCGAGTGGTCGATTTCCCAGGACCTTTTCCAGGACATCGTCTCTAAATTTGGTTGCCCGGTCCTAGACTTATTCGCTTCTCATGCAAATCATCGTCTGCCCCGTTATTTTTCCAGGTTCCTGGACCTTCAGGCGGAAGCTACAGATGCCCTCCGCAGCCCTTGGCCGGCCGGCCTGCTATATGCCTTTCCTCCGCTTCCTGTGATTCCCAAGGTTATAAGGAAGTTACTGGAGGAAAGAGCCCAACTTCTTCTGGTGGCTCCCTTCTGGCCAATGAGACCTTGGTTTGCGGACTTGATGAACCTCTCTGTGGCCCCTCCCTGGAAGATCCCTGCCTCCAAGGTCGTCCTATCCCAGGGTCCTCTCTTCCATCCGGACCCGGGCTGGCTTCGCTTGACCGTCTGGCGGTTGAGCGGCTCCTCCTAACGGGGGCTAAAGTTCCGTTGGACATTGTTTCTACTATGCAGGCAGCTCACCGTCCTTCTACGCTCCGAATTTATGAAGCTACGTGGAGGTCCTTTGCTTCTTGGTGTTCAACCGTTCCGGTGTTGCCCACGTCAGCCTCAATCCTCCATGTTTTGAGATTTCTTCAGGCTGGTTTTCGTAAGGGACTGCGACCCAATACCTTACGTCGTCAAGTTGCAGCCATTGCCTCAATTTTGCCTTGCGGCTCGAAGGATTCCATCTCCCATCATCCTGTTATCACTGCCTTCCTTCGCGGAGCTACTAATTTGCGACCTCCGACAGTACATCGTTTTCCTACATGGAACCTAAATAAAGTTCTTTCGGCTCTCATGTCCCCTCCTTTCGAGCCTCTCCGTTCTATTTCCTTGCGTTTTTTCTCCTTGAAAGTTATCTTTTTAGTAGCAATCACGTCCTCCCGTAGGATTTCAGAGCTGGCAGCCCTTTCCGTGCGGTCGGATTTATGTATCTTCCATACCAATAGGGTGGTGCTCCGGTTGGACCCCTCGTTTGTGCCCAAAGTAAACTCGCCCTTTCACAGAGCGCAGGAACTCGTCCTTCCGGATTTTTGTCCTCGCCCTTCTCATCGGCTAGAGAGGTCTTGGCACACACTGGATGTCCGCCGGGCACTGAAGATTTATATAGCACGGACTGCTGGTCATCGTAAGACAGAAGCTCTTTTTGTGGCTTTCCATCCTTCCTCACTTGGGACCCGCGTCTCAAGTACGACTTTAGGGCGCTGGATACGGGCAGTGATAGCCCTAGCCTACCGTCAATCTGATTCTCCGATTCCTCCTTCCATCACTGCGCACTCAACGCGGAGCGCCTCTACCTCAGCCGCCTGGGCAACTCAGGCTTTCCTCGAGGAAGTGTGTCGAGCGGCCACATGGACGACTATCAGCCCCTTCATAAGGCATTACAAGGTTGATTCCTTCGCCTCCTCAGATGCTGCATTCGGCAGACGGGTTCTCCAGTTGGTGCACCTCGCTTGACGGATTCCGGACCAGTACCTTCCCCCCCGGGGCGACATCGAGCTTTGGTATGTCCCCAGTATGACTGACGTTTTTCCCTCTCGTTGGAGAATGGACGTTGGTCTTACCTGATACGTCCGTTCTCGACATGAGGAAAAACGTCAGTCATCCCCACCCTGGGTACGTTCCGGCGGTGGTAGGGGGGGGTGTTATTAATTTTTTATCGTTTCAGGAGGACACGTCCTTCGAGTCCTTTGCTTCGCCTCAACGAAGAACTGGGGCGGCCTCAAAGGGGCGGTGCCTTGGCTTTCAAAGGTCTCGGTCATTGGCTGGACAGGACGTATCCCCAGTATGACTGACGTTTTTCCTCATGTTGAGAACGGACGTATCAGGTAAGACCAACGTCCAATCTCTGATAGGTGCACATCACCATAGCTCTGAGTTGATGGGCAGGGGTACTAAGAAATATCCAGGTTCTAGAACCATATATAGGTAATCCTTGTTCTACAACCATTATTGGGACTAGAATGTTGATTGCTGAGTGATGCAATCATTAACTAAGTTATCACATGACTAGAGCTTTATCACCATTAAATGTTTATCACACGGTCATTAAGAGAACCATATGGTGGTTAAGCAAATCCAGTTTCCCCAACTGACTTGTCAGAAGCTGTCTGAGAAGGTCACAAGTCACAATCACGTGACCACAAGACACTGCAGCCATCATAAATGGGAGCTGGTTGCCAAGCGCCTGAATTACAATCGTGCGATTGTGAGGGTGGTGTGATAGTTGCAGTTCCAAGAATAGGTTGTAATTTAGTTTTTCTAAGGCCACTGTAATTTCAAACAGTTGTCAAATGAATTGTCATAAATTGATGACTATCTGTAAGCTTTTATATTACAATCAAATACTCAGAATTTAGCTCAGTAACAAACAACCAGCCTCCCCAGTACCTTCCAAATAAATGTGTTGGGTTATAGCAGAACATATACTGGTCAGCGACTCTTACCTCATTGCTACTTTATTCTTCCAATGGTCTCATAGTATATGTGAAATATTGTAGTAATAATATATCACATAACTCTGAATCACAGGAGACCATTCTGGCCTACTTATGCTCACTTATTAAAGCGTTCACTTTGGTGGGCATTTCTGTTTTTTGACAGTTTCAAATTTTTCTCAGCTTCTACTTCTTGTGCTTTATGTTCTTAATGTCCTTGTAAATATTGTCAGTCTTGGTGCTACCAATGATTAGATTTTATTGCAGTTTTAGTTTGATTATCTCGTCTCCTGGTGATGCTTTTCCCCAGAGCCATTTGGCCTGGAAATCTCATCCCTCAATATCCAACTTGTCTAAATGTTAAGCTATGTCCACGTAGGTAATGTTCACTTGAAATCAATTCTTCAGTGATAACAATTAGTTCTTATCATTTCATAATATCACCGTGAGCTAAATAATAAATACAGGTAATCCTCAAATTACGACTACAATTGTGCCCAAAATTTATGTTGCTAAGTGAAACTTTTGTTAAATGAGTTTTCCCCCATTTTACTTTTCTTGCCACAGCTGTTAAGTGAATCATTGCATTTGTTAAGTTAGTAATGTGGTTGTTAAGTGAATCAGGTTCCCCATTGACTTTGCTTGACAGAAGGTTATTAGAAGTGATTGCTAAATCTGATGAGACAAAGAAGCCATTGATTAGACTTTAATAAATGTATTATGAAAGGTATTTAAAAATGCTATAAATGTATAATATAAAAAGAATATAATCTAATCAATTTTAAGACTGGAATAAGGAACAAGAGATTCTCATTTCATTTAAACTCTTGATATTTCCATCAAACATTTCTGAGTAAAGTTTGTTCAATGCAAAAATATTATTTCAGTCTTATTGGTGCCATGGTACTTGTATAGAAAAGGAATTGTCATCAGGCTGTTGGAGATGCAATAGTGCTTCATTGAAGCATAGGTTTTCACACTATTCTAAATTGTTAATGTTCTGGGGAAAAGTTCTTAGACCTATTAATTTGATTTTGAACTAGGGTTTATTATTCAAGGTGTCTGTGTTCTTTTTTTTTTTTTTTATTGAAAAAGTTTTCAAATACAAATTTTTCCCCCTTTTTTCCTTCCCCCCCTCCTCCCTAACCCCCCCTCGCCACCCATCCCCCCGTGACTTCTTCACACCAAAAACCTAATTCATAACAGATTACATAATATTTTAACATCGCCTTACTCCCTCCTCTATATACTGACCCTTACTTACTAAAAATATTATTAATATTGTTACTTTCCCCTTTTATCATACATTTCAAAAAAAAAAAAGCAGTCTGCTATAACATTATATGATAACTTCTAGTTTAGCATAATATTATTATAACTCCCAATTTAGCAATAATCTGCCCTTTTTGTCCTCCTCAAAACTTATATCTATATATTATTACAACATTTCAAAGCAACCTTCCACTTTAAGACTGTATAATAGATCCTACTTTAACATTTATTCTTTGTGTATATTAATATAACATTTCAAAGCAGCCTTCCCCATAAATCCTAATTTAACATTTATTCAACTCTATCCATTTCCTCCACTGCCCTAAATATATCACTTAAACATCCCTTTTCTTAAACTAATCCATCAGTAGACTAACATATTTCCACCCACTTTCCTACAAAATTACCATGCACAACAATTCTTAATATAATCCACTGCCCACTCTGCTAAAATATATATATATATATATATATATATATATATATATATATATATATATATATATATATATGTATATATTCCGTTATTTAAAAAAAAGAAAAGACAATAACTTTAAATTTATAATCCATATAATATCTTCTTTGATGTCTTTCCACTGGATTGTTGAGTCCCTCATCCATAATTGGGTAACGTAGCATCCTGGTGCAACAGTTTGTTCAAAGTCTTCAGTCATCATCTGCCCCCATCAGTAATGAATATCCTCATATATATATAAAAGTAAAAACAACCACCCGAGTGACATTATGATTATATTCCATATAGTTGTAATTGTGGCTTTCATCAGGATTATTAATTCCCGTCATCCTAATGGGTAACAACCAGATCTTCTGCATGCCCCAACGTAGCTCTCTTGCCTTGTAGCTCAGAATAGTTATAATATATTTATCAATACAAGAAAGAAATCCAAAATAGATAATTCAAATCCAACAGTTTAAGGCTCTTTTCACATCCCAAAATTACGGCATTGCAGAGGTCTGTCACTGTCCTCAGGATGATATTAACCAATACTTCGCCTCCACTATCTTTTCACATATTCATTCATTTTTTTAAAATCACTGGCTTCACCGTTGCTTAATTTAGAAATTTCTGTTTTTATGAGACCTATTTCTTTTTTTCTTTTCTTTTTGTGGGTTTAATTTCCATCCTGTTTTCCTTTCTACAAGTTGTATATCAACTGATCGGTTTTCATTCTGCTTTATAAGTTGATCTTGTTGGTTTTGTTTTTGTATCTCATATTTCTTTTTTGCCAATTGTATATCAGCTAATTGATTTCCATACTTGTCTTTAACTTGGTGAATCATCACGTTGAAATCAGATGCCGCTTCTCTCATATTTGTAGATAATCCAGCTGGGGTATCGAGAGAATCCAAAGGCAATTTGTCTACCGCAACCTCTGTAATTCGATGTTTTCCCTTTATTTCCAACTCCTTCTGCTTATCCTGTATTGTGCCTATAGATGTTAAGTTCATTTTCAAAATTTTTTGATAAAATTCTTCCGCTTTTTCAACAGTATCTAATTGGTATCTTTCTCCTTGATATCTCAATATTATGCCAACTGGGGCATCCCATCTAAATGGAATATTTCTGTATTTTAACTCAGTCACCAGAAAACCAAATTTCTTCCTTTCCGTTAACATCTTGGGGGGGGGAGCTCTTTGTAGATCCATATCTTTCTTCCATACAATTGCAAAGTAGAATTGAAGGAATTTTGCACAACATTATTCCTAATTTCTTTATCTGTAAAATAAATCACCACATCTCTAGGCAATTGCCTTTGCTTTGCAATCCAGGAGTTTATTCTGTACACTCTGTCAATCCTACAAAACACTTCCTCAGGTTGAACCTTTAAAATCCCAGCCAGAATTTCAGAAGATATTTTCCTTAAATCATCTCTGTTATTTTCCTGCAAACCTCTGAGTCTGATCGCATATTCTGTAAAATTGTAATGCACCATTAGGACCTCTCTTTCAATCCGTTGTTGTAAATTTTCTGCATTACAAGACTTTTGTTCAACCTCCATTTTAGGTTTTTCTTCTGAGCTATTGTCTTGAATGTTTGTCAAATCATTTTCAATTTTTTTGTATTTTATTATCCAAATTGTCCTCAATTTCTTCCACTTTAGACTCTAATAAGTTAGTATTTTCATCCAACTTAATCATAAATTCTGCAAAGCCATTAGCCATTTTTATAATCTTTCGATCCAGAATATCAAACTTTAATTGCACTAATTCTTTAATTTCCTGCTTAAATTTTTCAAAGTTCTGATTCACAATCTCATCCCTTCTTACAATCTCCTCCAAAAGAAATTCAATTATATTAAAATCAGTTTTCTGAGACTGGAGCTTTAAAACTTGGTCACGTAATTTGTTAATGGGGGAATCCCCCCCCCCATTGCTTGTTTGCCTGGCTTTAATGCCATATTTCAACACAGACAAACTATTTTTTTAAAAAAAAAGAAAAGAGAGGCAGCAGAGAAAAAAAAAAACTTCTTTCCAACCAAGATCAATATCAAATCTCCAGGAAGAGAAAAAACACAAAAGTAGAGCTTTATTTTCAAGTGTAGCCAAAAATATTTATTCAGTTACTTTGTATCTCAATAGGAAACGGAAGGACTCTCCCTTTCAGCCCCTTCTCAAGCCTCGGCAATCGCCCTTTTTAAAGATTCTTTTTTCCTTTTCCTTTTCCTTCTTCAATAATTGTTATAAAATAAATGAGATACTTGCAATTCAGGGTCACAGGTCCAGCTCATATCCCTTCAAATGTAGCCAGGAGCATTTATTCTGCTACTTTGTAACTTAATAAGAAACGGAAGGACTTTCTCTTTTCAATGTCTGTGTTCTTTTGAACTATATATTTATTACATGGTAGAAGGAGAATGATGTTAGTGTATGGGTGGTAAAAAGCCAGAAGGATCTGATATTGTAGTGAATTGTATCTGATGAAAGCTTTTGCCTTCAGGTAAAATGTGTTCCTGTAATGGGAAAAGGTACTACCAGACTCCTCCTGATATCTGTTTCATGAAATTGATACTTGGACAATGGAAATTGATTCTCTACACTGAACTTATTGCTAAGAGACTTATCCTTCAACATTGGTAAGATAAAGCTGCTTAGCCCTCCCAGTATTTCAAAGTAACAGACCTCAAAGAGCAGGGGGAAGGGTTGTGTCTATATTGGCAAGCGGTAGCTTACTTCTTGGCTAATTACAGTCAGTGGTTGATTTAGTACATGACATTAAATTATAATGTGGCTTGCTTATTTCAAGCTTAGCTACTGCAGTTAACCAGAAATGGTTTATGGCAGGTTACTCAAACTGTGTGGTATCCAGAGGCGATGGATGAATGCATTTGTGTAACAACCCCTCCCACCCTTCCCCAGTCACCAATAAAAAAAATCAGGCAATGTTTGGACAACATTGTTAGTTTGGCAGCAATAATGTAGCAGACAGATTTGCATATCCTGGTTATTAATTAAATTTCTGTTTATTTAATATTTACAGTTTTCATGTTTGTATCGTCGTTTTTATAGCATTTGCAAGCTGCCCAGAGTCACTTGACTGTGAGATAGGTGCCATATAAGTGTGTATGTGTCTCTCTGTGTGTGTGTATAAATAAAAATAAAAACAAAACATTCAAAGGTGGATTGCTGTCAGAACAGGGAAGAACATCATCAACAGGGTAAATCCAAATAGAGATTTGACAGAAGCACGTCTCCATCAGAGTTGGTTGATTTTTAGATGTACTAATTAATATTCAGGTTCCAGAACCATATGGCTTTTATTTTGCAATAAATACCCTGAATTTAGCTCTCTAGCAGATTGGTAGCTACCCCAGTAAAGGGTGCTCCTTCACTGGCTGCAGCAGCTTCCTTCTCACAAGGTATCACCTTCCTGCCAGGGGTAGAAGTGCCCAGTCTTACTTTCCTAGGTTTCTTCCTGGATTCCAGTGCTGAGTCGACATCGTTACTCTCAGCAGCTGAAAGGCTGCTGCTTCTCTTCCGCATCCTGCAGAAGGGTGATGCTCCCAATGAAGAAGCGCTTGAAGAGGAGGAAAATAGCACTAGGCAAGGTCATCTTGAACCAGGCCTGCTTGTCAGGATTAAGGAGTGAGTTGGGTTCTGGCAGGGACTGCGGCCATTGCAACACCTTCGGAGGAGAACCCTCGTGCTTGCCTCTCATGCATGGCCTGATGCACTGCTGTAGCTTCATGAAGGCCACTTATATTGAGACAGAAAGAAGCAAGGGTAACTCTCCACAAATTCACTTGCTCTCCTGCTTCACGGCCTCATATATTTGTGTGAATCTAGCCAAGTGTGGCCAACAGAGAAAAATCATGGTTAGCCACATTGAGGCTTCTTGAGGGAATTAGCTGAATCAGGACATTGTAAATTTCATTTTCTCAGAGCTAATTAGAAATGATTGCTTAAAGATTATATCTTGATTTTAATGATATTGTTCTTGTTCTTATATTATTAAGACACCTGGAGCATTGTATAAACAGGCAGTCAGGATACAAATTTAATTAATAGATAACACATTTTATATACCATATTCTGTTATTTTTAGTAGAGGTGCTGCATCTTCCTCTGTTAAGTTTCTTTTTTCTTGTTCTAAATATTGATACTGTGATGGAATCTGGCATTGACTTATAGGAGTCATACCTATACCCTGTGAGATGGATTAATGATTTGCATGCAGGAAGAGGCTAAGAAAGAATCTTCCCTAATTCTTCACAGCATTTATCAGATTAGTTATGCAAAGTGTGCTTTAGTCTGGCAAGATTCCTGTCTATGGGTGAACTGCAATAAAGAAACTGCTTGAGCAATTTCTTATGTCATCTTGGTTTCCTGCTCCTGACGTTAATTTTTCCATGCTCCAGGCTCCTTTGTAGGAGAGAAACTTGAAGAATTAGAGAGAATGCTTTCTTACTTTCTTCCAGCAATGAATTTTGGCCACTTGGAAAATGGTGTCTGCTTGCAGGATCTCACCACGGGGAGTGTGGGGGGGGGGTGTTTTCTTACGGAGAAAACCCTGGGCTTTTAATTTTGACTCTATGCTGCCATCTTGTGGATTTTAATTCCCCCACACCCTATAGATGCCACTAGTAGCATCTTCAGAAGTAAAAATAAATAAATAAAAAGGACCAAGTCTGTTCTTATTTGGGATAATTAACAACCCAAGTTCAAACCCTGTTTGATCCCCAGTTAAACGATCAATTGCCTGCTATGGTACAGAGCTATATAACTAGAATTTCCAGGTGAATTTCTTTTCCCAAAGTCTGCCATGGGGAATGGTTAGCTAGCTAAATTCATAACTTGTTTATTGTAAATAGTGTGGGTACTTTACAACCATATTGTAGATATATATGAGATTTTGTTGTTGTTGTTAGTTGCAAAGTCGTGTCTGACCCATCGCGACCTCATGGACAACGTTCCTCCAGGCTTTCCTGTCCTCTACCATCCTCTGGAGTCCATTTAAGCTCACGCCTACTGCTTCAGTGACTCCATCCAGCCACCTCGTTCTCTGTTTTCCCCCTCTTTTTGCCCGCAATCTTTCCCAGCATTAGGAGAGATAGAGCACAATATTAGTTGGAGGCCTATAGAATTGTTTTGCTACTCTCTGATTACATAACCAGTAGAGGGTGCTACGGGATTTTTCTACTGGACCTTTCTGTTTATGGGGGAGCTGTAAACTGTAAAAGTCTCATAGTACCAATTTCTAACACTGGTGAGCAGGTATCTAATTCTCTGGTGACTCCCAGTCATGATATACAGGGCATGAACAATATAAATTCCTTCAAAAATCAACAGAAATGAGCTATACTGCTACCCATTAATGCTTTGCATTGGCAAGGGATGAGTTAGATGGCCTTTGGCAAAGCTTCCAAATTTGTGGATACTGAGATTTAATATGCATTGCTTGTGTTCTTGTCTTAACCAGTAAGAAAACCATTTGAACATTCACTGGCTGGCTGGAAGTGAGGGGAAAATACAATGGTGAAACATCTTATGAGAGTTAGCAATTTGGACCATTGGTTGGATGGGAGAGTAGATGAAGATTGCTGAAGGGAAAAATGGAGAAAGTTCATGCTCGACAGAGAAAGATTTTATCTAAGGGTTCTGCCATGGAAGGTAATTTGGTCAATTTGCACAAGGTGAACTTTGGTTACATTTGTATTCAACGTGTCATATTAGTGTTCCACTAAAAACATATTCTATAACTAATGTTGAACATACTCATTGACGACTAGTCCCTTAAGAAACACGACCGGCAAAAACCACCTTCTATATTTGCTCACCCACAGAACTCAAGCCTCATGCTAAACTTAAAAAGTGGAATTTAGCCAGTACAGGAAGGAACCCCTTTTCTCCCATAATAAATGACACAGATGCCTTCTGCCTAGTTTTGGCCAGGGATTGAAAAAGAAGGGCGGATTTGCACCCCAATACTGGAACATAAAGAGTTTTAAGAGCAGTTAGTCCAAGAGAAGGAAAAGTCTCTTTAAGAGCACCAGGAAGCTATGCCACTTAACACAGCCGTGGGAATCATTCTGTGAATTGAAAAGAAGAGGCCAGAACTCTTGGCAGAGAACAGAATCAGCTGGTCTCGAATTTGGGGATTGGCACTTTCCAGCACGGGCAGTGGGGCAGGAGGAGAACCTGGCTGTCCTAGAAAGGGCTTGGTTCTCCCATACAACCTACAGGGGTCAGGCTGTGATTTTGATATGCCCCCTGGGAAGAGGAGCAATGTCTTGGGGCTTGTTGACTCAAAGCACATGCCTGATAAGCAAGCAGATCTTGTCAAGGACAGTTGGAGGGGACAGGTCACGTCCCCAGAGAGCTATTGCGGGGACTGATGAATTCTCTCCTGATTGCTGGCTGAGCCAGTCCCTATGCAGCATTTTATCGATGCTGGAAGTTCCCAATGTTCATAGGTTCAAGATTGCTTGGAAAGGGATAAGGTCAGAGATTTAAACAGCAGGAAGCAAATATTGACAGGAATGTCAACCCTTTCTAACACAGTAGATAGGAAATTGGGTATTGATTCCCAGCAACATCCAAAGCAAGAAATTGCTGAGGTTGCAGACATTCATCACAGCTCCTCAGGGTCCAGTTTGAACAACGCTCCCCCCCTCTCCCCAAGGACACACTAAAATGGAGAAGGCATGGTCTTTTTATTTTGGAGGCCCCCAGGAGAAAGAAAGAACTTTTAAGAAAATCAGATATTGCAAGGATGAGAGCACACATGACGTTTTCTCACACGCATGGAGAGCCACTCATTTGGGAGAGCTTAATTGCTTTTGCATTTTTAGTTTTTATGAATTTGTTTAAAATCAGCTCCTTTTTGCTTTTGGTATTAGAATAAAAGCCATATATAATGACACAGAAAGTTAGTGCTTTTCAAAAACATAAGAGTGGCTCTTGTGTGTGTTTGTGCCTATGTGTGCATGCACTGAAGTCAGTCTTAGTGCCAATTATTTTGCAGAATTAGGTTGTACAGGTAGTCCTTGACTTATAGCAGTTCATTTAGTGACCGTTCCAAGTTACAACGACACTGAAACAATGACTTATGACCAATTTTCACACAACCATTGTAGCATCCCCATCACATGATCAAAATTCAGATTTTTTTTGGCAACTGACTCGTATTTATGATGTTTGTAGTGTCCCATGGTCTTAGACTCATGTGATCACCTTTTGTGATCTTCTGCAAAGCAAAGCCAATAGAGAAGCCAAATTCTCTTAACAACAGTGTGATTAATTTAACAACCACAGTGATTCATTTAACAACTATGGCAAGAAAAATCATAAAACTCACTTACCAAATGTTTCACTTAGCAACAGAAATGTTGGGCTCTTGTATAAAAGTTTTTTTTATTTTTTTAGACAAACACACATACAAACATAAAATGTATTTTCTTTGAACAGAGTATTTGGCCGGTTCACAAATTTAAACAATATTTAGTCATTTCAATTAAGTTTACAACTTCTATATTTCCTTTTTGCCATAGGTATTCCTTATCTATTTTTTTTTAACAAACCAATATTACCCTTCAATCTCATCTCTAATCTTAATCCTAATCAAATTCAATTTTTC